AGATTTTATTTATTTATTTGAGAGAGAGAATGAGAGACAGAGAGCATGAGAGGGAGGAGGGTCAGAGGGAGAAGCAGACTCCCTGCCGAGCAGAGAGCCTGATGCGGGACTCGATCCAGGGACTCCAGGATCATGACCTGAGCCGAAGGCAGTCGCTTAACCAACTGAGCCACCCAGGCGCCCCTTAAGAACAATTTTCTTATCAGCACATAAAGTCTGTATAGTTCATATTGGTTCTTTGCCATCATTAGAAGTAATTCATGACCACTTTTTTTTTTAATTGAAAGATACTGAATAGTAGAAGGCAAGAAGAGGAAGAAAAACAGCATCTCCTGGTATCACCACCTAAACACAAGCACAAATAACATTTTGGGAGAAGCTTAATGCTTAATGTGACATACTCATGATGACACGGTTGGTTAGTAACAGCACTGGGACCTCAACACAGGATCAACGGTCCTTGCACATCTGAATCTTTCTGATGGTGGCCACTGATATCTCTTGGTGTCATGTTTATACATCCCTGGCGCTGTACATGTCTTCTCTTTGATGTTTACTTTGCCATGAATTCCACATATTTGTGTGTTTCCATCTCCTGCCTTCGACAGGATTGTAGGAGAACAGTCCTATAGTGAAAGAGAGAAGCTGAAAAATAGTTCCAGACTGAAGGAGACTAGAGAGACATGACAAAATGCCACGTGTGATTCTGAACTGGATCCTTTTGCTATAAAGGACATTTATCGAGACAACAGGTAAAACTTGAATGGCGTGTGTGGATTCAGTGGTAGTCATGTTTCAGTGTTAACTTCCTGGTTTGAATAGCTGTGTTGGGTTAGGAAAATGCCCTTGTTTGTAGGAAACACACCAAACATTTGGGGGTGATGAGGTGTTATGTAGACAACTTACTCTCAAGTGTTTGAGGAAAAGTAATTTCTTCTACTGTTCTTGCAAATTTGAGGTTGTTTCCAAATAGTAAAAATCAGAGGTAAACCAAGCAAAAACAGGAAATGAAAGCTGGGAATGAACTAGGGGAGGAGTAAAAGAGATGGAGTAAAATAGCTCTGGGAGAAGAGAAGGAAGGATTAAGGAGAATTAGTCTATTTGGAAGAGGGGGTGGGATAGGAAACAAGATGCTGACATAGTTGACAGAAACTAAAGGTGGGGTTGGCAGTGGATTTGGAGAAGTTGGAACATTAACAGAGAAAAGGGGGGGTATGTGGAAAGATGAAGAAAAAAAGAGGGTGGGGAAGAGAACTAATATTTATTGAATGGCTTCCCTGGGCATTTAAATCCCATTTAACTCTTACATAACCATGTAAGATGAGAGTTTTATCCACATTTTAAAAAAATGAGCAAACTAGAGCTCAAAGAAGTAACTAGCCCAAAGTAATACAGCTGGTAAGCAGAACCAGGATTTAAATCCCAGTATATGTGATTCCAATGGCAATGGGATGGTAGAGAAATGGTCTCATCAGGTCAGAGAAGGGAGATTATTAAATTTTTTTCCCCTCAGGAATTGCAGTGGGCACAGAGACCAAGTGAGAAAATGATTGTAGGAGTTTGGAGGTTGGGGTTGAAACCAGGATTTGAATAATCTGAAGAGATGTGTTACTTGAAGTCATGGGAAGATGGCAGAAAAAAAGGAAGAAAAGAGAAACATCGAGAAATATAATTACTTGTAGATGAGAAGAGACAGAGGAGATCAAAGAGGCATTTGCAGAAGGCTTGAGGGATATGATAGGGCAACTTCTAAGATGGTATCCAATGATCCCACCTCTTATTATTCATACCCTTGTGTAATGCTCTCCCCTTGAGTGTGGGCTGGATCTAGTAATTTGCTTCTAACCGATAGAATACAGCAAAAGTGACACAACATCACTTTGGTGATTAAGTTACAAACAATGGTAACTTCCATCTTGCTGGTAGATCCTTATTGGTTTCAATGAAGCAAGCTGTCATATTGGAGAGGACCAAGAGTCAAAGAACTAAGGGCAGCTTCCAGTTAACAGCCATCAAAGGATAAACGCCTTAGTCCAACAACCTTAGAGACACTGAACCCTGCCAACAATCAGGTGAACTAAGATGGAAGCAGATTCTGTCCCAGTTGAACCTTGCCCGAGCCTTGGGCCCACACTGTGATAGCAGCCAGTGGGACTTTGGTGTGGAGGACCAGCTAAGACGTATCTGGATTTCTAACCCACAGAAACTGAAATAATAACACGTGCTGTTTTTGGTCGCTGAATTTTGGCATACAGTGGATGTTCATTATTCAAGGATTCCACACTGCAAAATCACCTATTCACTCAGACTTATGTGTAACCTCAAAATCAATACTCATGGTGCTTTCATGGTCATTTGTGGACATGTCCAAAATAGTGGAAAATTTGAGTTGCCTGATGTGCACTTTCCCAGCTGAGGTCAAACAAGGAGAGGTGCTGCTTCTTGTTTCGGTCTCATACAGTAAACAAGTGTCCTTTTCATGCTCAATTTAGTGCCGTGTTTTGTGCATTTTTGTTGGTGATTTCACTGTTGAAAATGTTCCCCAAGAATAGAGCAGAAATGCTAGTGTTCCTAAACACAGGAATTTCTCCATATGGAGAAAATTCATGTACCAGATAAGCTTCATTCAGGCATGAGTTATATTCAGGCTGTTGACTGCGAATTCAATGTTAATGAAGCAACAATATATTTTAAAGTGTACATATACAGAAACACACATTGAATAAGGTTATGTGTTGATCAGTTCATGGAAACAATATGATCAGCGGCTCACAGGAACCTAACCCTGTAACTGAGGAGCAGTGGGTCAGCATTTGCTAATCCAGCGTCCTCAGTGACTTTATAGGGCATAACTACCTCAAATAAAGAAAATCGACTATAATTTGTTTTGTAGCAATAGATAACGAATACAGGCAAAAATGGGAATTTATAGTTCACCGATCTAAGGAGGAAGCCTTTTCACAAGGGGGTCATGATCAAGCATCAAGGGTGCAGGTTGCTTATAAGCGGTAAGGCTAGACAGATAGTACTTGGCAGTGATTAGTGTCTGCCATCTAAGTTATCACTAAAATGGTCACAGATCAAAAAGAAATAATTTTGCCTGGCCCAAGAGATTTATTTCGGGTGAATGTGAGTGAAACTCTGGAGGAAAACTGGCCTCACAAAGCAGTCTCTTTGCTCTGTAAAGCCCACAGCAGGGTGAGGAGTGGTATGTACAACCCAAAGGTCCCAGCTCAGTTAAACTCTCTGTGACAGTCCCGGGTGATGAAACCTGGGGTGGCTTTTGGCAAGCACACAGTCACTGCCCACACAGGGAGACGGTGCAACTGCAAGAGAGGCTGTGGAAGAAACAGTCCCTTGGGAGACTTGATGCGCCTTGACATGCCTCGACACAGCTTTTCTATGATCTGGGGCTGAAAGCTTAACATTTTATTTTATTTGCTTTTAACTTCAACCCATAACATAGTCTTTTTGATTTTGTTTTTTAATGAGGCTCCCAACTTCATCCTGGATCCCCACTCCTAGCGCCACCCGGTACTCTAACGAGTGTGCTAAATCCCTACATAGGGATGAGTCTTGTATAATACATAGCATTGGTGTCTGCATGTATAGGTTTAGAAGTTACATAAATGACCCTACTGAGATTTTTGAGTTGTATTGAGGTTTTCTTTCTTTTTCCACTCTACCCTGTAAGTGTGGCTTGATGGACGTGTAGTTTGTTGCTTTCTAACAGCTGTAGAGTATGCCACAGAGTATATTCACCACATTTCTACCCATCCTCTTCCCTAGTGTTGGACTCCTAGCCTGCCTCCAGTTCCCACTACCATAGTTAGGGAAAGGGGGAGACGAATAGAATAGTTAACCTTGCAGCATCATGCCCTTCATTTGACCATAATCACTTCTCTGTCTTCTCTTGTCCTTCTTACCTTCACTGGGTAGGGGGCAATATCCACCAGGACTCATTCCTAGATCGTGAGAACGTGCAATGTCTCACTTCCTGTAGAGCAGCTGCTCCTTTGATTACTCTGACCACTTCTGGAGAGGCAGGGGTACAGATCTGTTTATTAATTTTTTTTTAAAGGCACAGGGGCTAATTCCCAAGTCTGATTTTGCCTGAAGGCTGTGTAAGTGTGTATGTGGGGGAAACCCAAAACTAAAAATAAAATGCCACTTACTATATTTTGATTTTAAATTAAATACATGCCCCCAAACAGCAAAGGACAGAGAAAGGAGAAATTGACAAAAATCAAGTAACCACAAAAGCCAAAGGTAGTTCTGTCCTCAAGTACCAAGTGCCAAGCTAGACCGACATCCACTTAAGTCTTCGGCAGAAGTGAAGCTAGAGAAGGACTCTCGCTGACACAGAGAAAAGAAAGCCCATGACTTGTGGAATCAATTTTTATTTCTGAATTATACAGAGAGGCTATATATATATATATATATATATATATATTTTATATGGTGGTGTTACATATCTTTATATTATTAATCCACGCTATTTAGGGAGAAATTATTTATTTATTTACCAAAACAGAGTCTAATACTTGATTCTGAGCAATCCAATACATGGTAGAAAAACTTTCAAATATATAAAAGATTAGTCTGTGCATGTCTAAATGTTTCTAAGGGAGCAAACTACCGAGGCATTGTGATTAGATGAGGCGCAAACACAGTGCTGTAACCGAATACTTAAAATGACATCTTAATAACACAAAAGCTTAGAGTAGTGACTTCCTCACACATGTTGGAGTGTATCTCAGAAGGTAGCCCCACAAAACATTGTATGGCTTCAATAAGGAACTTCAGGATCTTCTCCACACCCAGCTATTGCCCTCACACAAACTTTTTTACTCCTTGATAGTATTTTCTGTGTAGATTTATGTTCTTTCTTAATCAAGGAGCTAAGCAAAGAACGGTTGCCACCTTGGGAAAACAAGACGTTTGCCCCACGACCCCTTGATTCCCTGAACTACAAACGTACAGGAAAATTGTAGAACCGTTCCCAGAAGTCAGAACCAAAGCAAGAATGCTCAGAATGCAAGAGCTAGATAGCTACTGATGTGAATGTTTACATCTGTCTACCTATCTGCTTAGGGATTATTTTTTCAGGATTCTTCTAGAATTCTATTTACTTGGACAGAATTTACAGGGTGGCTTTTCTCTAGCACGTGCAGTTAAATTAATGTGTCTTTTTAAGATAATAAAATAGCAGATGCCTATCGGAACAGTGGTGCAGCCCATAGAACAGCCCAAACAAAATCAGTGACTGGGAGAGAGGCTCATAATTTCCATGAGGGAAGATGAAGCTTCCAACAGAATACCACCTGAGTAGTTTTCCATGAACAGGCTAGACAAGCTCAAGGAAAATGTGAATGGTGGGACTGTTGCTGTGTCCGGTTGAATATAACAAGACCCCTCTATCAGTAGCTCTGTGTCCTCAGGTTTGCACCAACTGAACACAGCCCTGATTTCTTCATTCCTTTCTGTAGTTAGGGGGCCCACTTAATTCATTTTCCAAAATGGGACAGAGCTGAGCAAAAGGGACAATTGTCAGTAACTGCGCCAGAACAACGGTGCTCCATGGGGGAACCTACCAAATGTTAGGTCACTGGTCTTATGTCAACACTGAGCTCTGGGAGAGGCATAATTTGGGCTTCCAAAGGTGGAGCTGGGCGGAGAGAGAGCATATGTTCTGGGGTTCTTCTATTGGATAAGACAGATGTTAGGAGGGAGGAGACCCAAAAGAACACATTTCAGCAAGATGCTCTCTTGAAAGGGACACAGAGGGGAACTCGGTGAAGTATGGCTTATGGAGGAAAGAGCACGGACCTGTGTGTATGAGCGCACGTCTGGAAGGTGGGTGCGAGGCAGACATGAAGCGAATGAGGTCAGCCACATCCAGTCACCCTACAAAGAGGTCTACCTCAAGGTGTTTGAAAGCTCCTGACACCCAGGACTCAAGTGCCCCAGAAAGCTCTCCTGGATGTAGCCCCACCCTAAGCCCATGGTGTAACCCTGGCCTCCGCTACATTTTTACTGTTGCTAGCTTATTAGTAACAGGTGATACCAGAGAGTAAGAACGGCCCTCAGGGTAAGTCCAGGACCTCGGCAACCCCCCTAAACAGCCAAAAGCCTTCTAAGCAGGCTTCACTTGGGGTCACGTAAACGAACCCCGAGCCATGCTTTTGTGCGGAGGACTCCCTGTCTTTTTCAGCAGGTCATTTATTTTACCGAGTACGGAGGCCAACATGTTCTTTTTAAAGAATAAATGAGTTTGCAGGCTCACTTATACGTTCTGTTACAGAAACTAATATCCAAATCCTAAATGCGAGAAGGGGGGAGAATGGGTGCACTGGGGCAGGAAGGGCCCAGCGAACTCTTTCTATAGAGAGAGTAAATAGTTTAGGCTTTGCAGGCACCGTTCAGTTCAGCAGCTGCTGTGTATAAGTGGCCCCAGGGAGTCTGTGAACCAATTCGTATGGCCCTGTTGCCACAAAACTTTATTTACGGATACTGAAATTTGCAGGATTTTCATGTTTCGTGAAATATTAAAAAGATGTTTTTTGACCCCAATGTGAAAGCCATGCTTAACGAGGAGGCTGTGTGAAAACAGGTGGTGTGCTAAATTTGCCCACGGCTTTGCCAACCCCTCTGCTAGAGGCCCGCAGATTTGAAAGCATGTTGGCATTTTCAAGGGCATGTGAAGACTACACAGGGGAATTTTGCAAATGATAGCACGCACTCCTATTTCATGTTAGACCTCTGATCAGATCCAAGTGATTGAAAGCAGATTGAGATAAATGAAGGTTCCCAAATAATGAATTTCTGAGCGGGCCACCTTACACCCGAGTCCTTGGCACTTACAACGTAACATTTTGAATGAAGTTGACGGCGTGAAGCGCAGAGAGCTACCAAAAAACGCCGACATCGACCCTTAAGTTTCTCAGCGTGGAGGTCCTCAACATTCATCGGAGAAATAACGATTTTTAAAGAGACCAATTCACAGAAAACACGACGCCTGATTTGATAACTAAAATAAAACTGAGGTGAATCAGAAAACCTGGGTCCCCTTGAGACGTTAGAGACAATTCATGGGGACAAGAACCAAGGTGGCTTCACACCTGAGTCTGGTTTACAGCTGTGCTAAGCGAGCCGAGGGTTTTAAAGGCAGAGTTCCATGGGGGACACAACTTGCCTGGGGAGCGTTGAGCCCAGGTGTTTTAAGCCTAAAATGATCACCAAGGAGAAATCCAGCCAATCTCTGGAAACGGATCCACTCATGATTAAGAGTGGACGGAAGGTATCTGATCGGTCAACACCAGTCTAAGAGAGGAGACCACCGCACCAAGGGCTAACAGAATATTGAAATGGAAGGTCCTATTGTCTTGCTAAGGTTCAACTGAAATCTTTGAGGCACGTAATTGGCAAAATAGGAAAATACACACAATTTCATAAAATATGTGAAGAGTAAACAAATTCCCTTACTGTTTTTCCCCTTAGAAATTTAGAATGGCACCAGGTAGTGCAAAGTGGAAAAAAGGAGAATCAGCCCTGTCTCTTCCAGGTAGGTAGGCTTCAGCAGAATCACGAAGCAGAAGAGTATCTTCTTCCAGCCATGGCCAACTAGGGCTTTCCTTTTAGCTTCAGGTCAATACTTAGGGAAAAAAGGGAAGAAAACAATGAGAAATGTGAGCAATTGAATATGAAACATTTAGTGATGATTCGGAGTGGCAGGTGTTTGTTCTTTTTTCCCTCAAATGACTTACTGACAATAAATCATGCAAATCTCTTATGCTAGAAAAACCTGGTAAGTCACAACCCTCCCCTCGTTGCCAAGGTTTTCCCTTAAATGTGGAATCTGTTTATTTTTTACAAAGCTGTTTCTGGAAGCATTTTACGCCTCTTGAAATGATCTAGGGAGGCAACAGATGTGTGTGAGGGCTCGTTTCTGAAGTGGACTAAGGAACATTATTGCATTTTGGGAATAAGGGATCTACCTATTTCTAGTAAATGGCCTTCTCTTGTGGGGCAAATCCATGATCTGCCTGAAATAAGTAACATGTGATAAGTGTTACATAGCAAGAAAGTGGTCAACAATGAAACAATAGCAAAACAAAACCCCCCAAACAAAAACAAAAAACCCAAAATAAAACCAAACCATAACACTTTCTAGAGCCAAAGAATTTGTTTGAAATGGGTTAGCCTAGCTGACTGAGATGGATTCTTACAACCTAAGAAAGGTTGTTTTTAAGAAAGTCTCATGGGTTCCCAATTATCTAGAAAATAATTCAAAGATCTCCTTGGGCCACCATCTACTGCGACTTATTGAACCTATCAGAACTTCCTGGCACCTACCAGAGAAGAGAGCTCCAGCCAGGATGCTCAAAAGAAGAATGTCAGCCATGAACAAAGAAAAACACCGTTTGAAAGAGGCAATTTGGGAAGTATCTGTGGATTTCGCTGAGACCTGCCTTCCTGGCCCTTCCGTCCACACGCCGCACAGGTTCCTGTGCTTTGCTGTGGGATCTGTAGCAGCTGAGGGGTTCCTTCCTGCAGCTTTGCAAATAAAACCACTGGGGGCCCACGCTGCCTGCCCATCTAGTTTACAGGAGTAAAAAATATCTTTCCTTTGAAATGCCCTCAATTCTACCACTTATTAGCTCGGGGCCTTGGCCGAGTTACCGACCTTGCCTAAATGTCTATGTCTGTATCTGTAAAATAGACTACTCCTACCTCTCTCAAGTCTTGCTAGGGATTGAGTCTCAAGTGTTTTCAATTGTAAGGAGGAGGAGGAGGCTGAATTGTAGTAGAATACTAGTAGCAGCTCAGGGTCCTTTTGAAAGGGGCCCGGATAAAAATTTGAAGACAAACAGAACACTATAACCAGGATGCCTATTCTGAAACACCTCATTTTTCACTTTAAGATTTTAAGTCATCTCTACATCTAATGTGCGGCTCGAACTCACAACCCTGAGACCAAGCGTCCCATCCTTCACTAACTGAGCCAGCCAGGCGCCCCTACACTGACTTTCTGGTAAACCTTCCAGGGTTTTAGAAATGTATCCCTTCAACTTTTGGTAAACAAAAAGCTGAAACACGAAAACCTATTTACACAGTTTATGGAAGAAGCCAGAGATAGTCAAAAGTGGACGATTTTTAAGTAAATACAGGAAACCACACTGAAGATTAATTTTTGAGACAACAGTTGTCCTGTGGGGCCAACGAAGCTACCAGCAATGCTACTAATTTAAGTTTCTCCCAATAGTACCACATCCCCTCGATTGGATACACTTTTTATTTATGTGAAAGTATTTTAAAAGCATACACAAGTCTTAGGACATGAACGAACAAATAAAATCCAAACTTGAAAGGGAAGGAGACAAGCACCTGGAGATACTTCTTAAAATAGAATGCTTTTGGGGAAAAATTTACCTTGAATCAGAATTACAATACAAAAGGAATATCCCTCCCCTCGGGGCAGGTGGGCTGAGATTTCTATAAGCAACTTTCCAGGGAGACATAGAAACTACAGGCCATTTTGGCTTCTCACATATGTTAAACGAGGTTCCTTACAAAGTATCTGACAATATTGTTTAATGATAAATACAAACTCTTGTGTTTTCTGGAGGAAGATGGGGGGATAGGCATAACTTCCCTTCTTTCTCTAAGGAAAAGGAGAGGGGCACATTTCATTTGAATCTTGGCTTGATTGAACTCCTTGAAACAGCCTTTGCAGGTTATCCATTCTATACTCGCTACAGAAGGTGTAAAATGCTTCCACGCAGGAGCCAGACAAAGGTAAATGAAGCCCCTTAGTCTTATACTAATGAAAGCCAGAAATCCAGGGCTAGAAGTCAGCATAAGAACTTCTTGGCCACTCTTGCCCCTCAGCCTGGATCTCTTGTGCTGAGATCAGGTGCCTGATAGGAGCTTGGGAAAGACAAGGCTCAAGAAAACGGAAGCGAGGTGAAGAGTATGTTCTAAGAAGCGGGAAGTAACATTAAGCTTTGCAGCATCCCTCCCTCCCCCGTGCCCAGCCCTGCAATGAACCCAAACAAAAAGCAGTGCTCTGCTCCCCCCCCCGCAACCCAATGAGCCCCACGTACAAACAAGGAGTCAAACAGACAAGACAGACAAAGGAGTGGGTAAGCCCGCAGATGTTGCAGCCGGGGCCAGTGAGCGACCACCCCTCCGCGCAGCTCGCGAACTGTGGGCCTAGGACTCTGCTCTAGGGGGCGCTGCTTTGCCGAGGGAGGGGAAATTTGCAGAAGAATGAAGGTGGCCTAAGGGACTCTGTTTTGGCCTTGCAGAACTTCTGTGTGGCAATTTGCCTGAAGCAATTGTTCGTGGGACAGGTGAAACCTTCAGAAAAATAGCTGTGTGATTCCAAAGGTCCCCGTACAGCCTTTGTTCTTTACTCTTTTGTGGGGACCTTCTCTCCGGGGTTTTTGCCCATAAACTTCCTTAAACTGTAAGGTCATCGCAGTCCCCACAGAGCTGCTGCACTATGATTTTCCATCCTGGCTTGGGACCTCGAGGGAAAGGGGGTCCAAAGAGAACAAAACACGACACTAGCTGCCACATTTAAGTCCCATCTTTGCCCCTCCTGGATTCCCGGGAAGGACTGCGTTTCATTCTCCACAACTCAAATCAAATTAGGAGCCATCAGCTGGGTGGTCAGTTTCCCTCGGAGAGCATGTTGGTGACCACACTTTAGTCCCTGAAACTGGCAACTCTGTTCCCGTAGGCAACGAATGTTGTCCTCCTCGAGTCTAACCAAAGTTAGATCAGAGGCTGCACACCCATTCCAGAATTATGACCACCTCTCTCTGATTTCAAAACCACTGGCCCCGGAACTGCAGACTCAAATCCCAGCTCTGGGACATTTTTACAACTGTAAAATGTGGGACTGGTCAGTTAATCTCTCTACTTCACTCTTTCCATACCTGTAAAATGTACCTCGTAGGCTTATCCTGAGGATAAAAATCAGATACTGTGCCTGAGGCTTTTCACATAGAACCCGGCACGTGGTGAGCACTCAACTACGTGTTCGATTTCCATTTCTCACAGGATGAGGCCAGCTGGACTAGCTCATTCCTCAAGTTCCATCCAGACTCCACTGCCTCTTGGAATTTTCAAAACAAGGACCTCTTCTCCCCCCTCCGCCAAAATACGAAGCTCAAATGGAAGTGCCAACTTTCACTAATTAAAATAGATGATGTAATTCAGAAAGCAGAGTTGCATTCCTCCTGCCCAAATGCTCTTACATCTGGCTCTACTACTCATTTTCTGCCCATTTTTGGATCGGAAAATAGAATGCCAAGTAGATTTAAGCTGTCCTTAAGGATTGTAGTAGTGATCATCAAAGAGACGGTGTGAAGCCAGCACATTTCTCTTTTAGGGTTCTGATTTGAGAAATAGAGAACCTGAGAGCCGAACATCTGAACAGAGTTTACCCAATCCTTGATGTATTTTTGTTTTCTTTCAGAGCCCAGCCATACAATGCTACAAGTAACCAAACAGGTGTTATGGATGGTGAATTCTTACTCCTTCTCCATGGAAGACACTTCTGGATCATTGTAAAGGCAGCTAGTTCTGAGTGCAAGGAGAAACAAAATAGGAAGCAAGTAAACATCTTCTCCACTGTTACCACTTTGTAAGCACAACAGACACAGCATTTTAAACTGTTTGATGTTGTATCATTGCTAATATGGAACAAAGCTACACCTGAGTCTTTTACCATCAGTTTTGAAACGTAGGAACTGCCCATGATTTGAAAGCATAAAAGGAAGACTGAAATTCCAAACAGCTCCAGTAGTCTCTTCTGGTCTTGTTACTTTTTCCTGACTTTTCAATCTACCTTATTCAGAAATCATGATACTGCAAATTTTTATTTGGAACCCAAATAACATACTTTATACACAAAAGACAGTCCCTCTCAAGGAGCCTAATTTTAGTTGCACACGAACAGTTTCACTTTGCACAAGAATGAGGATTTTCCTAGACACTAAAAGAAAAAATGCCAGTGTCAGCTTTGTTTCAGAAAAATAATAGGACACTCACTACTATACGGCTGAGCTGTGTTTGGGTAATCGAGTGAATCCTAAGATTAACCTAAACTGAATGTGTCCAGAAAGAAAAATGTAACTATATGAAATAATGAAATGAGTTTTGTTACAATGTATGAACGTGTTTATGCCTTTGGTGTATTATTAGCTGCTTCTGATAATCCATATTGGTGGGATTCCTCTGTAAGCAATTTTCACATGTTTTATATTAATTTCTGATTAATAGGACATTTCAACTTTTACTTTGTCCCCTCTGGTCATATTTTATTATTGGCAAACAAACTATTTAAAGAGATTTTACGATCTTTTTATTTCGTTTTTGTTTTTAAAAAAGACGAGAGAGAGAGAGAGAGAGAGAGAGAGAGAGAGGAGAGAGAAAGCGAGAGCACACGAGCAGGGGAAGGAGCAGAGGGAGTGGGTGGGGGAGGGGGAAAGAACCTCTCCCGACTCCGTGCTCAGCACGTAGCCAGACTTGGGGCTTGATCTCAGGATGAGATCATGACCTGAGCCAAAACCAAGAGTCAGATGTTCAACTGACTGAGCCCCGCCCCCAGGCGCCCCTCTATGATCTTTTTAAATGAGAGAGTTTCTTTTATAATGTGAATTATTTCATTAGCTAATACATCTGTTTGAACATAAGAGGTTCAGTTATTCACATTAAGCATTTTGTTGAGATGGTGAAAGGCGATCTCCCTGGGCAGGCTTCCCTCCACCCCCTCCACCCCCTCCACCCCCTCTACCCTTCTCACTGGTGGTCAGGTATTTTTATGGTGGATATTTGGCAACTTGAGTGAACAAGGACAGTCAGGCAAGTGTTAAAGAGTATGCTAGAAAAACCTAGCAAAGCTGGAATGGAATCAAGAAAAGGTATTCTTCTGAATTTAGCTTTTCTGTTGTTTTTTTTTTAACTTTGCGTAATCCTTACAATGAAAACAGCAATTTGCAATCCATTTAATACTGTCACCCCAAAGGCAGCTGATGGATTCTTTACCATTTTCAAAATAAGCCTGGCCCTCTATACCCCACTAGTCCTTCCCACGTATTTTCCTTCCTGTATAGATATCAAGTTTTAAGGAAAACATAAGGCAGGCTGAAGAAATCACCTTCTGAAAGCCAGTTAAGAGGTGGTGTGTGAGTACATGGGGAAAAGGTGAATGTTTGAAAATAAAGCAAAACAACAGAAAGATGGGTTTTGTTCCCTGACAAGGTAGATGTTTGCCTTTGGTTAGAATCAGCCTGAAGCTTTTAAATAGAGGTCATGTGGAAGGACAGGTGTGTCTGTTAATAGAAAGAACCTGGGTTATCTGGCTTCTAGAACCTAACCGTATGTCTGCAGTGACCATGTTTTCTGAACCTTAAATCATCATGTACAGTCTGTCCAAGGATTGGGAGCCACTTCAGAGGCCAAAAGGTAGTTAAGGAGATGTAGTTAGTATGCTGAAATGGCAGGATTTAGGGGTACTGAAGTCATCTGTGGGGTCAACAAAGTTCTTGCCCCCTTACATTTTGAAATGCGCAAATACATTTCAAGTCCTCACACATGTAATGTCACCATCAAAAGAAGGAGGATCAGTTGGAGGGGAATTCAGACAGGTAGCTTACCCACTGAACCCAAAGCAAGAGCATCGACTCCTAAGACAAATCTAGTTATTTTTGTTCAGGCATTTACATTAAGGTGGGGATTCTCGGACCATGGTCCTCAGATGGGCAGCATCGGCATCACTGGAATGGGTTAAAATTACAGATTCTCAGACCTGCTGACTCAGAAGCTCTGAGCTGAGTCCCAGGACACTGTGTTGGAGCAAGTGCCCCAGAGATTCTGCTGCTCAGCGAAGTCTGAGAACCCCTGCTCCATGATGATGAACGTAATTTTATGCACATTCGTCAGTTTATGCAGTGGAAATTTACGGGGCATCTATTATGTACTAGGCATGCTTGGTGCTTCTGCCAGGAAGGAGATCAAGTCATCTCAGGACCACCTGAGACCATGTGGATACCTGGGGAAGGAGTGTGGGGGGGGGGGGAAGAGAAGAGAGGGAAAGATCGGAGAGGACAGAAGAGAAAGCTACACAAGAAACCCAAAGTGATAACTGTTTCACTAGGCAGCTAAGCAGGAAGGGCAGAAATATGGAGGGAGGGAAAATTCTACTGAAGGAGGCAAGACTGCATGGTACTAATGAAAGAACATGGCAGTATGACTTTACAAGGGGTTTGACTGGAAAATTATTGATTTCCCTCCCCTCAATCTTTTGTTTTGAAAACAGCTCTTTAATTTTATAAATGTTATCATCCTAAAAAAAAAAATCTGAAAGAGAAACTGATTGCTCTTTCTGTCTCTGCAGAATCTCATGACACCATGCAAATTGAGTGCAAATAAATGCTAACAGGGCGCATTACGCCAACATCTGGTTCCTTGGTTCCTAATGTCTTCCTTTCTTTTCCAACTCCTGGTTTGTAACAGTTGGGTCAGAGACTAAGAAGATTCTGTTAGAGTAGAAATCCAAGTACTTTTTTGAGTATTGTTAGTGTAAGCGGGTGTCAGTTATCTTGAAAGAAAACTAAAAGGAATATTGTAACACGAAACTACACTTATGTCAATGTTTCTAAGGCAAATATCTTTCCTTCAATTAATTAATTAATTAATTTCAGTATCTCTCTTTTTTTTTAAGTGAGCTCTATGCCCACTGTGGGGTTTGAACTCATAACCCTGAGATGCACTTCCAACTGAGCCAGCCAGGCGGCCCTTTTCCTCAAATTTTAACCCAAAAGATCCATTCTATAGGCAAATAATTCTATAGATATCTGCAATAAAAGTGTGCTGTAGGAGTCAGGAAACGACAGATGTTGGCGGGGATGCGGAGAAAGGGGAACCCTCCTACACTGTTGGTGGGAATGCAAGCTGGTGCAGCCACT